CGGTTTGCCTGAACTTCAGCCTTAGTTTGAGCTTCAGTCTTCCCCACTCCAAAAATTAGAAAAACAAAGGTTTCACTTTAAGATACCTTACTAATGATGTGGTATTGTATATACAGTATATTGTATAGGGGACCAATAGTTTTCCTTTCTGCCAGATTACACTTTTGCTCAATTCGGTCCTAGTGCATTTGTGCAGCTATATGTATTTTTCACATGAATTAGTAGTCTGTAAGATCTTCAGAGGTGGGGACTAAGCATGCAAGGTCCTTAGAGGTGGGGACTATCATGTAAGGTCCTCAGAGGTGGGGACTAAGCATGTAAGGTCCTCAGAGGTGGGGACTAAGCATGCAAGGTCCTTAGAGGTGGGGACTAAGCATGTAAGATCCTCAGAGGTGGGGACTAAGCATGTAAGGTCCTCAGAGGTGGGGACTAAGCATGCAAGGTCCTTAGAGGTGGGGACTAAGCATGTAAGATCCTCAGAGGTGGGGACTAAGCATGTAAGGTCCTCAGAGGTGGGGACTAAGCATGCAAGGTCCTTAGAGGTGGGGACTAAGCATGTAAGGTCCTCAGAGGTGGGGACTAAATCTATAAGCTCAAAAGAGGTGGACTCAGGTGGACTCTTTAGAGCTGAGCCTTGTAAGCCCCTCAGAGGTAGGGACTGAATTAAAATGATTAATTGTTCTCTGTAATGGGCAACAAGATATTTTGGTATGGATAAAATAAATGACTACAATGATAATGAGTTAATTCTCTATTGGGATGACATACAGAAAATAAAACCAAGCCACAGCTTGCACTGAACAATACACGCTCCCTTGGTGGACTGAAGCTTCCATTCTTAAGCTAATATTCCCAGTTTACAACAATGCACATAAGCAAACCTGGCTAAAGTTGAAATTATGTATTATTTAAAAACATATAAGCATCATTTTTATGTCTCTTTTGCTGTGTATTTCTTATACATGACTCTAAAAATAAAAAGCTGCTTTTATTGGATGGCAGGGATTACAAAGCACCAGTAATTTTTTTTTCTCTATGCCTGCAAAGGAAAGTTTTCCTGATATTCTCCTTGCTATGTCTTTGAAATGTAAAAAAACGTGCAGATGAAGATTGAGTGATTTTGTAAATCAATTTTCATAGCATTCCGCTGCGATAAGTATATTTGTTTACATAATTTTTTTTTCTTTTTACAAAAAATGCTTGTCATTTTTCTGTGTTGATAGACACACTGCCTGATAAATAAAGTATTAGGATTCCATTATTTATGTTTTGAATCTGTCTACTTCATCGATGTTAGTCTGTCCCTTTTGCAGTTGGTTTACATGTAGCTCAAATTAGAGTTTAGACATCGTTGGGCCCTAGGTATATGAAAGTGTTGGGGCCCTATTACACAGTCTCCATCTCTTGTAGCACAAATGATCTTAAGACCATTGCTATGGAAATGTATGTCCAACTCAACCATCATTTTTATGGCAAAGGGTAGAATGTCTATTTGCGTAAAAAGACCATTACAAAATACGTTATAACAAACTCTACATATGAACGTAAAATGCAAAGGTGACACAAGTGTGTTTTTTTGTTATTTATATTTGGTCAATTTTTGTTGGAGGCTAGAACACGGGCCAAAAATCATCTGATTCAGTAGGAACTGGATGACTCTTCATCCATATGTAAAGCTGTTGAACCATCATGCTGGAAAACCAACATTCAAGCAGCACTTGCAGCCAATGGCTACAAGCACTGATCAGTGTATTCCAAAATGCAATGGGGTTAATTTACTAAAACTGGAGAGTGCAAAACCCGGTGCAAATCTGCTTAGAAACCAATCAGCTTCCGTTCACACCAATGCGTTTTTTAGTGCTTTTTGCTGAAACGCACTACAGTCCATTTAACATGGTTTTCTATGTAATATCTATGCTTTTTTTTGAGCTGCTGCATTTTTTGGAAGGGGTCAGAGACTTTTTAAAAGCAAAAAGCAGCATTTTTGCTTCAATAGAGTTCAATGGAGAAGCTGCTGAAATACATGGTAGTTTGTTTTTTGCCTCGTTTTGCATTTTTATTTTGCCCAGCAACAAAAATCCACTTTAACAAAAAAAAGCTGAAAAAAAGCAAAACGTGTTAAACGCGCCAGAGGTGTATCAAAACGGCATCAAAAACACTTGTATAAAAATTGCAAAATGAACTGCGAAGAGCACTGCAAAATGGACAAAAAGCAAACTGCATAGGTGTGAACGGAGTCTTATTGTCAAAGCTTCATTGAACAAGTTGAAGTTAGAAGCAGATTGACTACCATGCATAGCTGCACCAGATTTTGCACTCTCCAGTTTTAGTAAATCAACTCCTCCGTCTCCGGCAGAAGAGATCCATGCATCAACATTGCCTGTGTTGACGCTTGGATCTGTCTTTTTTTTGTGTCGTTCAATCCATTGGTTGAGTGAAAAAAATAAAAAATTTGTGTGTGCCCATATTTAAAAAGCAGTGAATGTAACATTCACCAAACATTCAGTGCACGTGATTCAATTTCTGTATTTTAAAAATGCACACATCTTCAATGAATGTTTAATCAACGTCATATTCATTGCTTTAGAAATATACCCCTTAGGCTGGGTGTTGTTGTGCGTAAAATGATACTAAATCTAAAAACTTTTTTATGTTAATGCATTGCTTTCATTAAGGTAAAAGCGTTTTTAAGTTCCCTGTGCTCCCCCTTCCCTGTGTGAAAGGGAGAAGAGATCAGAGCTCTTCACGGCTGCATCTCTTCTGCTCTCGCTTCCTCTTCACACAGGGACTCGAACAGCAGCAGGAGCCATTGGCTCTTGTTGCTGTCAATCAAGTGCTGTGAAGAGGATGTGGTGGAGAGGGGAGCTAAGTCCCGCTGTGTGTGTCTATGTAGTGCTGCTCCGTAGCCACACAGGTTAGGAGCAAGCATGCAGAATTTGTCCCCATAGCAAGCCGCTTGCTATGGGGACACACAAAGAAGAGGAGGAGCCAGGATCATGGGCGGGGAACTGAGAAGAGGAGGTGAGTATAACATGTTTATTATTTTCATTTTTAAAAAAATTGCCTTTAGTAACACTTTAACACATGTGCACTAATATGAGTTATGCTGTATAATAATGCGTGTTAAAGTGGAATTCCAATCAAATACTAACTAAGCCTAAACCTACTCCCACCCTCATTCTAAGCCTATTCTACCAACCCTGTGAAAGGAAAGCTCTGTATATTTACCTATTCTGAGGTCGCTCTGGTCCTGTCAAATGATCAGGTCCCAGTGCTGGCTTCAGTGTTGAGGAGGAACAGCCAACAATGGATGCCCCCTTAGGCAGTAAATCTATGGGTGACATCAACACCCAGGCTCTGCAGCCGTTGTCAGCAATCACTCCTCTTCACTGAAGCCAGCCGGAGATCATGTGACCGGACTTGTGCCTTCAGCATAGAAGGATAGACTTCTTTACTTTATGGGATAGTTAGAATTTTAAAGACGTGACAGAGGTTCAAACCATTTCTCCTGCCAGTCTGTAAGTCACTACAGGACACAGGACCTATAATGCAAGTGCTACATTACTTACCATAACAATTGTTATTTTCATTCTCAAGATTTTTTCAGTTCTTATTGGTGCATATTGATAAAAAATAACAACCATCTTGGCAAAAAATGATTGTTATAACTAGAGATGAGCGAATTATTCAAAAATTCGGTTCGGCTGATTCGCCGAATTCGCCGAATAAATTCGCTTCGAGCCGAATATATTCGCTGCGAATTTAACTTATATAAAAAGGGTGTTTCTAGGCTTCAGAGAGCCTTTATATTAGTGCAGAACACTGTACCTTTAATTTAAATGCCCTTGGAGTCTGCTGGGGAAGAGAAATAATACTGTCAGTCAGTATGACATGCAGATGAGTGCCGTCGATCTTAGAATCACCGCACACTTCACTCATTTGGGCAGTCACGGGGCCAAAACCAGAGTGTGGAGCCACAGTGTGGCGGTGGAGGCAGCAGCAATGGGAGGCCATACAGCACCCTATGACAAAATGGAACCCACCAGCAGTGTGAGGAGACCTGAAAGTGGCACATGGCAGAGTGTGGCGATGGAGACAGCAGCAATGGGAGGCCGTACAGGGACCCATGACACACTCTGGACCTGGCAGCAGCATGAGGAGGCGGTACAGGGGCCCATGACAGATTACGGGCCTGGCAGCAGCATGAGGAGTCGGTACGGGGGCCCATGGCAGATTACGGGCCTGGCAGCAGCATGAGGAGGCGGTACAGGGGCCCATGGCAGAGTGGCGGAGCGTAAGCAGCTAAAATTGAAGGCCATACAGAGGCCTATGTTAAAAAGTCCCCCCAGCAGCAGCGTGGGGAGACGACTATCAAGAGTCCAATGGCAGAGTGGCGGAGCAGAAGCAGCTTCAATTGAAGGCCATACACAGGCCTAGGTTTAAAAGTCCCTCACAGTTAATTCCAATAACGAACTCTACTCCTCCGTGCAATCTAGTTACGTGACCCTGGGCAGGTCTGGGTCCAATTTGTGGTAGAGACTGGTTTTGTTCAGCCATGCTTGAGCGAGTAATAACAGGTCTGTGCTGCCCTTTGGTGTCTGGCTTAATGCGCACAACACTGAACGTCCCAGCGTTTGTCAACGATTTGCCGTTAAGTGATGCAAACCTGCTGAACCACGTTCATGAGGAGCCGGTACAGGGGGCCATGAATCAGTATGGACCTGGCAGCAGCGTGAGCAGACGACAGAGGCACATGGCGCAGGGTGGCGGTGTAGGCAGCATTATTCTGAAGCCATACACAGGCCTAGGTTAAAAAGCGGAAGCCGTCAGCAGCGTGAGCAGACGACAGAGACACATGGCGCAGGGTGGCGGTGGATGCAGCAGTATTCGGAAGCCAAACACAGGCCTCGGTTAAAAAGCGGAAGCCGTCAGCAGCGTGAGCAGATGACAGAGGCACATGGCGCAGGGTGGCGGTGGAGGCAGCAGCAATGGAAGGCCATACAGCACCCTATCACAAAATGGAACCCACCAACAGTGTAAGGAGACCTGAAAGTGGCACATGGCAGAGTCTGGCGATGAAGTCAGCAGCAATGGGAGGCCGTACAGGGACCCATGACACACTCTGGACCTGGCAGCAGCAAGAGGAGGCGGTACAGGGGCCCATGGCAGAGTGGCGAAGCGTAAGCAGCTTAAATTGAAGGCCATACAGAGGCCTATGTTAAAAAGTCCCCCCAGCAGCAGTGTGGGGAGACGACTATCAAGAGTCCAATAGCAGAGTGGCGGAGCGGAAGCAGCTTCAATTGAAGGCCATACACAGGCCTAGGTTAAAAAGTCCCCCCAGCAGCAGTGTGGGGAGACGACTATCAAGAGTCCAATGGCTGAGTGGCGATCCGGGAAGTCAGCGTTGTGATTGCAGATGCAATGCAGAAATTCTACGAAGTAATGCCGTGGGTGCGAAGAAGATCATTACCGTCGTACTTCCATCCATAAGACGGAACAACCTGCGAAACGGGAGCTTTATTGCCCTGACCCGCTGAGCAGCTTCTGGGATACCCAAGAGGCCCATGGCAGAGTGGCGGAGCGTAAGCAGCTTCAATTAAAGGCCATACAGAGGCCTATGTTAAAAAAGTCCCCCCAGCAGCAGCGTGGGGAGACGACTATCAAGAGTCCAATGGCAGAGTGGCGGAGCGGAAGCAGCTTCAATTGAAGCAGCCATAGGCCATACACAGGCCTAGGTTAAAAAGTCCCCCCAGCAGCAGTGTGGGGAGACGACTATCAAGAGTCCAATGGCTGAGTGGCGATCCGGGAAGTCAGCGTTGTGATTGCAGATGCAATGCAGAGATTCTATGAGGTGATGCCGTGGGTGCGAAGAAGATCATATACCGTCGTACTTCCATCCATAAGACGGAACAACCTGCGAACCGGGAGCTTTATTGCCCTGACCCGCTGAGCAGCTTCTGGGATACCCAAGAGGCCCATGGCAGAGTGGCGGAGCGTAAGCAGCTTCAATTAAAGGCCATACAGAGGCCTATGTTAAAAAGTCCCCCCAGCAGCAGCGTGGGGAGACGACTATCAAGAGTCCAATGGCAGAGTGGCGGAGCGGAAGCAGCTTCAATTGAAGGCCATACACAGGCCTAGGTTTAAAAAGTCCCCCCAGCAGCAGTGTGGGGAGACGACTATCAAGAGTCCAATGGCTGAGTGGCGATCCGGGGAAGTCAGCGTTGTGATTGCAGATGCAATGCAGAAATTCTACGAAGTAATGCCGTGGGTGCGAAGAAGATCATATACCGTCGTACTTCCATCCATAAGACGGAACAACCTGCGAACCGGGAGCTTTATTGCCCTGACCCGCTGAGCAGCTTCTGGGATACCCAAGAGGCCCATGGCAGAGTGGCGGAGCGTAAGCAGCTTCAATTAAAGGCCATACAGAGGCCTATGTTAAAAAGTCCCCCCAGCAGCAGCGTGGGGAGACGACTATCAAGAGTCCAATGGCAGAGTGGCGGAGCGGAAGCAGCTTCAATTGAAGGCCATACACAGGCCTAGGTTTAAAAAGTCCCCCCAGCAGCAGTGTGGGGAGACGACTATCAAGAGTCCAATGGCTGAGTGGCGATCCGGGAAGTCAGCGTTGTGATTGCAGATGCAATGCAGAAATTCTACGAAGTAATGCCGTGGGTGCGAAGAAGATCATATACCGTCGTACTTCCATCCATAAGACGGAACAACCTGCGAACCGGGAGCTTTATTGCCCTGACCCGCTGAGCAGCTTCTGGGATACCCAAGAGGCCCATGGCAGAGTGGCGGAGCGTAAGCAGCTTCAATTAAAGGCCATACAGAGGCCTATGTTAAAAAGTCCCCCCAGCAGCAGCGTGGGGAGACGACTATCAAGAGTCCAATGGCAGAGTGGCGGAGCGGAAGCAGCTTCAATTGAAGGCCATACACAGGCCTAGGTTAAAAAGTCCCCCCAGCAGCAGTGTGGGGAGACGACTATCAAGAGTCCAATGGCTGAGTGGCGATCCGGGAAGTCAGCGTTGTGATTACAGATGCAATGCAGAGATTCTATGAGGTAATGCCGTGGGTGCGAAGAAGATCATATACCGTCGTACTTCCATCCATAAGACGGAACAACCTGCGAACCGGGAGCTTTATTGCCCTGACCCGCTGAGCAGCTTCTGGGATACCCAAGAGTTTGGCTTCTGTGGGGAATATGGTTGAAAACTGAAACTTAAAGGCATGTTGACGGAAGGGCACCAGTGTCAGTGCTCCGGAGGGAATATAGCTTCAAAGCTGACACTTAAAGGTATATCGACGGTCAGAGACCACAGGAAGTGGAGCTTGCGTCTTAAATCAACTGAATGTGGCAGACGTGAAACGTCTACGGGCCGTATATGAAACGGGTTGTTCCTCTTTCTGGAATAAGTGTTGGAAATGGCCACTCTTTTTGGTGTGGCGTTTTGTCTATTTAATTCCGATAACGGACTCTACTCCTCCGTGCAATCTAGTTACGAGACCCTGGGCAGGTCTGGGTCCAATTTGTGGTAGAGACTGGTTTTGTTCAGCCATGCTTGAGCGAGTAATAACAGGTCTGTGCTGCCCTTTGGTGTCTGGCTTAATGCGCACAACACTGAACGTCCCAGCATTTGTCAACGATTTGCCGTTAAGTGATGCAAACCTGCTGAACCACGTTCATGAGGAGCCGGTACAGGGGGGCCATGAATCAGTATGGACCTGGCAGCAGTGTGAGGAGACCCGAAAGTGGCACATGGCGCAGGGTGGCGGTGGAGGCAGCAGTATTCGGAAACATACACAGGCCTAGGTTAAAAAGCGGAAGCCGTCAGCAGCGTGAGCAGACGACAGAGGCACATGGCGCAGGGTGGCGGTGGAGGCAGCAGCATATTCGGAAGCCATACACAGGCCTAGGTTTAAAACTGGAACACAGGCATGGAACCCAGCAGTGTGAGCAGACGACAAAGACGCACATGGCAGAGGATGGATCTGGCAGCAGTATGAGAAGGCGGTACAGGGGCCCGTGGCACAGTGTGGTGATGGGGGCTACAGCAACAGCTGGATGCCAGAAAGTGGCCGATAGGGCTATATACTGCATGGAATTATAAAGTTGTAAAGACAGCGGCCTATAAGGCTATACACACTATAACAATCATGACTTGATTGACCATTGGCCTATAAGGCTATACACAGCATGAATATCATGACTTATTCTGAGAGTGGTTTGGAAGGCTATATACAAAAAGTAATTCATGAGCTGTCCGGACAGCGGACAATAAGTACATATATACAAATCAATTCATCAGCTGTCCAGCCAGCGGCCTCAAAGGCGACACATATAGAAAGCAATTCATGAGCTGTTCAAACAGAGCCTCTAAGGCGACAGATATACAAAGCAATTCCCGAGGTGTTCAGGGAGCGGCCTGAACGGCTAGGTTATTACTAAATATATTTTTGTGGCCAAACATCAGGCCTATAAATAGATGTCTACACAGTGACAAAAAATTATGTCGCCAGACAGCGGCCCCTAAGGCGACAGATTATACAAAGCAATTCCCGAGGTGTTCAGTGAGCGGCTTGAACGGCTAGGTTATTACTAAATATATCTTTCTTTCTGGCCAAACATCGGCCTATAAATAGATGTCTACACAGTGACAAAAAAGTAGGTCGCCTTACAGCGGCGTATCCTACAAATTGACATTATAAGAAATGGTTTAGACCAAAAAAAAAAAAAAAAAACTTTGATGCGATGCTATACCTTAGTAGATTGTGGAAAGTCGACAAGTCAAGCGTAACTGTGTACATTACAGAAAATCTTAACAAGACAACCAAACATGTGGCCAAACCGTGACCGATACAACAAGTTAACAATGTAAAAGGCGCGAAAAGGAGGGGGCCAAACAACGCCATGGCAATATTTAAACAGGGCACGGGACCAGCAATTGATAGATGGACAAATCAGCTAGTCGGTCAAATAAATCAAAAAAAATTGCTATTCCATCGTCAAGGGGATTGTCTACCTCGGTTGGCAGGGTGCTGTTGCTGTCCAAGTAGGCCCCAAGCCTGTTGTTTGAGGTCCTGCTCCAGGTCCACCTGATGCTGCTGCTGCTGCTGCTGCGGCTGGTTAGTAGTTTCCTCACTGCGCTGGTGAAGAAAGCTACTCTCATCATCGACTGCAGACTGAGGCAGCCGCTGCTGGTGGAGCTGCCACTGCTCCTACCACCCCACTCCTCCCCTGCTGCCATGGCAGCGGAACGCGAGTGCACAGGGCCCACAGTGTCTGAGGATGGACGTTGGCGCAGAAAGGCAGAGACCAACTGACTACATAGGTGGTTTTTATAGTACTTTATTTTGGCCTCCCTCTCAGCAGGTGTGAAAAAGGCCACCATTTTTGAACGGTAGCGAGGGTCCAACAAGGTGGACAGCCAAAAGTCATCCCTCCTCTGTCTGATGGTTATTATTCGGCTGTCGCTACGCAAGCAACCGAGCATGCTATGGGCCATTTGTGCCAAGGAATGCGAGGGACTCCCTGCCTCCATCTCCACAGCATACTGCCACGGTGCGTCTGGGTCCTCTGTCTCCTCCTCTCCTCCTCTACCAGATGCTCCTGCTCCTCCACTCCTGTCCGCTGAGTGGAAAAACCACCCATTTCACTCAATAATTCCTGAGCACCAATGTCCTCCTCTACCTCCTCCTCTTCTTCCTGTCCTGCCCCCACAGGGGTCATGTGGCGTTGAGATCTGTGCGCCACGTCTACCGCACCCTGACCAGCCATTGTTAACAGCATTTGTTCCAGGACGTGCAACAGAGGAATGACGTCGTTCATCCCATAGTCCTGCCGACTCACGAATAGCGTGGCCTCCTCAAAGGGCCTGAGCAAGCGGCAGGTGTCACGCATGAGCTGCCAATGGCTGACATCTAAGTTACACAGGGGAGTACCTTTATCCGCTTGTAACATCAGGAAATCGGTGATGGCCTTTCGCTGTTCGTAAAGGCGGTCTAACATATGTAGGGTTGAATTCCACCTTGTTGCAACGTCGCAGATCAGGCGATGCTGTGGAATTCCGTTCTGCCGCTGCAGCTCAAGGAGGGTGTGCTTTGCGGTGTAGGAATGGCTGAAATGCATGCAAAGTTTACGTGACATTTTAAGGATGTCTTGCAGTGGGATGGTGGATTTTAGGAACCGCTTGACAACCAGATTGAAACACGTGAGCCATGCATGGCGCATGGCACAACCTTCCTTGACGCAGAGCAGACACCATGTTCTTTCCGTTGTCGGTCAACATGGTTCCGATTTTCAGTTTGCGCGGAGACAGCCATCTGTCGATTTCTCTGTTCATTACACTCAGAAGTTCCTCCCCTGTGTGACTACGTTCGCCAAGGCATACCAGGTGCAGCACAGCGTGACACCGTTGCGCCCTGCACATGTGATATGCCGGTCGGGTAATGGGACTTGGCACGGGGGGGTGGCGGCTGAGGACACGGCGGAAGAAGAGGTGGTAGAGGCGGACATCTTTGCTGGACCAAGGACGTGCAAAACGTGGAGGCAAAAGCGGCGTGACCTGTCCAAGTTGCTGGTGCGGCTGTGCCGGCACCCACGTTCACCCAGTGGGCCGTAAATGACATGTACTGTCCCTGACCGTAGTTACAGCTCCACACACGTCGGCGCTGCCGTGCACTTTGGCAGAGACCGACATGCTCAAAGACTGGCCCACCACCATCTCTTCTACATGTGAATGCAGGGCTGGCACTGCCTTTTTGGCGAAGAAATGCCGGCTTGGCACTCTCCACCGCGGCTCGGCACAAGCCATCATTTCTCGGAAAGGTGCTGAGTCCACCACTTGGAAGGGAGGGACTGCAGCACCAGCAACTTGGACAGGAGGACGTTCAGCTTCTGCACCGTCGGGTGCGTGCTCGCAAACTGTTGTCTCTTGGAAAAACGGATTCCAAGAAAGACTGCTGACGGAATCCGTGAAGAGGAGTAGCAGGAGAAGGAGCATCTGAACGAGCGGAAGATGCCAACGAGCGACAACTCCCCTCAGCAGAGGTGTTGGAGCCTTGACTGGCTGATAGAGGGGCGATTGACGTCGGGTGACGGAGCAAGTAACGGAGCGGGTGATGGAGCGGGGGCTGGGGCAGGCAGAACCGCCGTATCTTTATCACGGTTTTCCCAGGCCACCGAATGGCGACGCTGCATATGCTGACGCAACGCTGTAGTCCCAACATTGGCCCCCTGGCCACGCTTGACTTTCTGGCCACATAGTCGACATACGGCTACGTTTACTTCCTCGGGCGGCTTGACGAAAAATTGCCACACCGCCGAGTAGGAAACTTTGCCCCCCCGCTACTCCTCACTGGCTGACTGCTACTTCCTCCGTGCACACCGGCACCACTACTGGCCGTGGTGGTAGGCTGCAGTGGAGCTGGTGCTCTACTCCGTGGCCGTTTGGCTCCACTGACACTGCTGCGACCCTGCTGCCTCCTGGGCAACCCACCGACTGTTTTGCTCGCTGGCAAGCTGGCACCCTCTTCTCCTGATGATGCGGAAGCAATAGCCTGATGACGACGAGGCTGCCAAGTGCGATCAGCCTCATCATCATCAATTAGGGTCTCCGCGTCACTACTAGCCCCCTCGGCTGCGTGTGGGTCAGGAGACAGACCTGTCTCTAGACCGGCTACCGAGCCACTCTCCTCGCCAGTACTTCTTCGCCTGGCTGCTGAAGAGGCGGATGTCTCCCCCCGTTCCTGACCGCCCTCTGTTAGCTCTTCCTCACTGTACAGTGGGGCTGAGCCCACAGCATGCGATACTTCGCTTGGTGAGGGAACACCAAAGGACAGGGGCAGGTCGAGGACACGTGATTTCAGTGGGCTTGCTCCCGGGCCATGCCAACTAACGGTTGTGTCTGACGTACCCACCGACCGTTGGCTGTAGGTGTCAGAGGTGACCTGGGAAGAGGAAGACGACCGAGTCAACCAATCGATGACGGCAGGGTTGTCGGTGGAGACACGACCGCTGGATGACACCGGGAGCACTGGCCTCTGGCTGCGACTAGTGCTGCCTCGACCCCTTCCTCTGCTGCCACGTCTGCTCGCTCCTGAAACATTGCCTCCTCTGCCACTCCTCTGCGTGTTGTCTGACATACTCTTTAATTCAATAAGCACCCCAAAAATAAAAACCGGATTTAACTCTTTGAACGTACAATAGTGGTTGTGAAGCAGAAAGTCAGTTTATTTAGCACAATCGGTCAATTGCAGCTTGCCGTTGGCTGTAAACTGTACGTTTATGTCACTGGAATGCACTAATCACCCAAAAAATATTACCGCCACCCGGCGTGTATATGGATTTTAACTCTTTGAACGTACAATAGTGGTTGTGAAGCAGAAAGTCAGTTTATTTAGCACAATCGGTCAATTGCAGCTTGCCGTTGGCTGGAAACTGTACGTTTAGGTCACTGGAATGCACTAATCACCCAAAAAAATATTACCGCCACCCGGCGTGTAAATGGATTTAAACTCTTTGAACGTACAATAGTGGTTGTGAAGCAGAAAGTCAGTTTATTGTAGCACAATCGGTCAATTGCAGCTTGCCGTTGGCTGGAAACTGTACGTTTATGTCACTGGAATGCACTAATCACCCAAAAAATATTACCGCCACCCGGCGTGTAAATGGATTTAACTCTTTGAACGTACAATAGTGGTTGTGAAGCAGAAAGTCAGTTTATTTAGCACAATCGGTCAATTGCAGCTTGCCGTTGGCTGGAAAACTGTACGTTTATGTCACTGGAATGCACTAATCACCCAAAAAATATTACCGCCACCCGGCGTGTATGGATTTAACTCTTTGAACGTACAATAGTGGTTTGTGAAGCAGAAAGTCAGTTTATTTAGCACAATCGGTCAATTGCAGCTTGCCGTTGGCTGGAAACTGTACGTTTATGTCACTGGAATGCACTAATCACCCAAAAAATATTACCG